CATCAACCATTATTCATTGAAATTTCGATATATTAATTGAATGGTTGAATAGTGTAAATTAAACCACAATGGAGAATGGCCTGATTGGATTGGAGAGAGGATATTTGGGGAGACTAACTTGCTATGTGAGAGTATGAATATTATAATAGAAAAAGAGAGCAAAATAGATAAATTGAGCATCTAATTATGATGGCATGAATCATTTTCTTCTCACTGATGGCTCTATTTATCTTACGAGATATAAAAAAATTATAATAATCAGTACGTAATGTCTATGATCATATTATCATGAAAAGTGATAAAAACTAAGTTGCATTTTTTTGCAAGTTAGAATATATATGACATTAGAGAAAAGGCGTGTTTATTCTCTTAGAATTATCTGGTGATTTTACGCACATAAATTAATAAGATAAGTCGAAAGAAACTTATAGGATTTTTCTTTTTAAGTGGGAACTTAGGAAGGGGAAAACTACAAGGGTAGTCTATTTGAAATGATTTTGCTCATATGCGTCATAGGTTATAAATAATACATTTTCATATAATTAAGGAGTTTGATACAATTTAGTAGACATAAACCGTGGATGATCGTTTCTATAAAACTCATTAGACTTACAAAGTGCCATAATGTCATCATAATCAAGCCATTTCAACCTTATTATATTTCTTTTGTTTATTTATCCCAATTGATTTTGTTAGATTTGTCTCATCAAAGCATTCATTTTGAAGAATTTTTTTTATTTGAATGCTTGCATTAAAATAAACGCTTAATCAGATGAGTTTTCTGATTAAATTTCACACTATTAGTCACAGAGATGCGCCTAAATTTCTACTTTCAAAACAGTTTGCCCTTTGAAGAAGGCAAAACATATATAGCGAAAAATACTGCTTGATTAAATACTTCTCTTCTCTCCACAGTTTCTATTTATTCTGCTCCATGATTTCTACTAGGAAAAAGCTGTGCACTGCTAGTAAGATTAATTAGCTCTGAAATTATTCAGTCTGCTTCATGATTCTAACTACAAGGACAAGATCCTCCTTCATGAAATGAATACTGACCACTCCTGATTCCTGTTGCTGGTCCCCTTTGCACTTTCCCAGTCGCCATTAATTAATACATAGAGTGCAGCAGATAGAGTGGTTGGCTATCTGTTCTTCTTATTAAAGAGATGGAGACCTGGAAGCTCCAATCTCATTCCATTTTGAAGGCAAAGTGGTAGTTTAAATGAGTTGCTAAGCTTTACCTTTTTGTTTATTTATTTGAGCTGAAAAGACATCTATGAAAAATGGGAAAGGCTGGTGTTCTTTATTTCCTAAGAGCCTAGAACTAAGGGGATTAATCATAACTCATAAGCATCTGAGCTGTGAAAGATTTTGCCAAACAGGTCGATGTAGAGGAAAAAAAAGTAGTAGTTTTCTTTTTCATTAGAACAAATGATATACTGATTTCAAGAGATGAAAGTTTAATTTTATATTTCATATTTCCTTTGTAAGGATCCCCAATATTTTATGTATGATAAATTTAGATTTTATTTGGGATGACTTTTTAGTACAAAAAATAAAATTGTTGTGCTAAAAAATTGCTTTAAGAATCATTAGAAAGCCATCCCAAATGAAGCCTAAATCTCTATTAACATATGTTATGTTAGTTTAGGTTGAAGTTTACAAGATAGTCATATGAGAGTATGAACTATGTTATAACTTATGCATTTATGTACATATCATATTGCACAATCAACTCTAAAGTAGCTTTAAGTGCAAGGTGTTGAGTCACCTGACCTCAAAGCCAGGCCTTGCAAAAAGGGACCCTTCATATTGATGATGAAATTCATAGCAAATTTGAATGGCTAATTGCCTATTAAGATATGCACATCCGAGCATTGAAATTATGATCTATTGTACTATGATTTAGGCTTTATTTGGAACAACTTTTTTACTGCTTTCTAAAATTATTTTATGGTACAAACAATTATACAACAATAACAACAACAACATCAAGCTTTTATCCCATTATGTGGGGTCAGATACATGAATACTTTTTCTCTATTGTATCATGTTAAAAGTCAAATTCTCGTCTAAATCTAATAAATAAAGATAATTTTTAATATTTTATAACAAAGTCTTTTTAGGTCTACCTCTACTTTCTTAACATAAGTAAAATCTAATACTTCTACTTTTCTAATCGGGTCATCGGAAGGCCACCGTTTTATGTGTCTAAACCATATAAGGTGACTCTCTCTAATCTTATCTTCCACTAGCGCTACTTCAACCTTTTCACGTATATGCTCATTTCGTATCTTATCTCTACGGGTAAAGTCACTCATCCACCTAAGCATTCTCATCTCTGCAACACTTAACTTAATTATTATTTTGCTTCTCTTTTAATGGCCAACATTCGACGCCATAAAGCATTGCAGATCTCACCATCTTATAGAATTTTTCTTAAAGTTTGTGAGGGACTTGTCTATCACACAGCAAGCCCGATGCATTCCTCCACTTCACCATCTTATATAATTTTTCTTAAAGTTTGTGAGGGACTTGTCTACCACACAGCAAGCCCGATGCATTCCTCCACTTCAACTATCCAACTTGAATTATTCTAATTATATTCCCATCTATTTCACCTTCACTTGAACAAATAGATCTAAGATATCTAAAATATGTACTCTTATTAATAACTTGATCGCCCAAAATCACAATCCTTCACTAGGTTCATTACTGCTAAAATTACATTACATATATTCAATTTTAGATCTACTCAAGCAAAAACATTCAGACGCTAAGGTTGACCTCCATAATTTAAGTTTACCTTCAACTCCCTCTCTAGTCTTATGAACAAGAAGACTATCATCAGCAAAAAGCATACACCAAGATACATTCGCTTGCGAATGTCTAGTGAGAACATCCAAACTTATTTAGAAAATAATAAGTAAGTTGTCCAAAACGAAACATTAATCTTTATTTGATGCCATTAGATCCGTACATTACAAAAAAGTTGTGTTACAATAAAAAGAATGAAAATTTAACCATGCCAATAATTGTATTTAGAAGCAATTTATTTAATTGGATATTATATGTGAATATAATACTATTTTTAAATATTACTTTCATAAGAAAAATGATTTTGCAAAAAGTAATTCCATCATTAAATATGGATTAAGTAGCTAAATTTGATTTTTTTTCTCTAATTATCATTTATCATTATTATTGAAGATATCAAAAATAATTTAATAAAACGCTAAATCTCTTTCCAAAAAAAAAAGAGAGTTTATTTTAAAGGTTAACATTGTAATTTTCATGGCTCTTTTAACATCATAATTAAATTAGGCAAACTCCTGCTTGTTTCCTTTAATTAAAAGTATTCTAAAGCACCATTATGCTTTTGGCAGCTAATCAAAATGCCTCTTTATCTACTTTGAAATTAATTAATTGAGAATGAAAATATATTTCATTCTTCTCAATCTACAACTAATTAACATCACTTGCAAACAAATAAAATAAAATAAATAAAATAATAAATAAATTTATAAATAAAAATTAGTGGTGTAGGTGAGTCAAACTAGTCGCAAGTTGGCTCAAACTCAAGCTCGAGCCAGCTGAAGTCTAAATGCGTCCGGAGACAAATCCAGGTGTACCACATCACCCGCTGCCCACACTGCACAGAATAATATATCCCAGTAGTATATATTAAAATTTTTATTTGAATTATCATTATGAGTATTTTGAGTTTTGACTGAAATAATCTCCCCAATAAAGCAACCGCAAAGCAGAGTGTGAACTCATTGGGCACTCTTTAGCTGACACAAACATTATCATATAAAAAATATAGCAATTATTTGGTCTCAATGGGACACCAAATTCAACAATCACTTTAGGATGAAAGCCCCCATTTATGATTTTCAAATGGAATGTTAGGTTGTGATATATACATAAATATATATTAAAGTCAGCAATATATTTCAGATAATTTTGTAAGAGGGATATTCAAATAATTATAAATTTTCATTTATATAAATATTTATCTGAAATTTAAAAAATAAAAAAAAAAATTGAAAAATCAAATCAAAGTCTAAAATTTTCTTAATAAACTCATAATTAATCAAAATTTCATTTCATTTTTTTCTTGCATACTTTTCATTAATCTATATTAAATAATAAATATTAGAGGCATCATTACAATAAAGTTGAATCAATATACAAAGAGCACCCTCTAAAAAATATAGTAGAATTTTAAAATTATTATATTTATTTTATGACGAATATAATATAAAAAAGTATTTATATACTATACTTATTTTAAAATTTAAATAAAATATAATAAAAATTAAAATTCATTCTAATTAAATATTATTGTAATATAATAATTTAATTTTTTTTCTAAATTAGTGGATTTTGTTGTCTACTTTTCCCTTTGTGCACTCTTGATTTGAACATTGATTTTGTAGCTTGCTTAAATAATCTGAATATTGATGACTTAATGGGAGGAGCACTTTGAGAAGGTATTGCATAAGCCCATATTCTTCATCATATATATTTTATAATGTCCTATTAAAAGTGGCATTCCATTTAAAATTATATTTCACATACAATATTATTATGTACTTTATATCTATACATCTTTAACTTTAGGGATTATTATCATATAAGTTCCTATCATTTCAACTTTCTATATGATGATTATTATTAACTCAAAATGCAATGCAAGACATATTAAAGTATGTAAATAAACAAATAATAGAGAAATCAAATAGGCTTATTGTCCAATTTAATTGAAATTTGTTTGAATGTGTGTTTTGAAAAAATAATTGTAAATGAAATGTATGGATTTTTATTTTAATATTTTATTACTAACACTTGTATATTTCATTTCTATCATCTATATTTTAATATAAAAATAAATTATATATATGTAATATTTAAATTTTAGATGTAAAATTCATAAATAGAATGATATATATTGATTCGTGTGTAAATCCCCCTTACAATTATCAGGTCAGATATTTTCTAGTGCTTAATAAATCTAACTTTGCAAAATTTTGTACGCTCTACTCAATTAATTTCGCCGAAGCCAACCAGTAAAGAAAGTATTTCTACGCCGGCGGTCCGGCCGGCGGTCTCTGGCGATGTCAATCCCGGCGGACGGCGTTACGTGGTATGCAGCTCGAGGATTTTCTTCCATATGGTAGAATTCCAAACCCTAGGCTTCCTATCGGGGACAGCCTGTCTAGCTTTTCGGCCGCGAACCCTAGCTTTTAACTGCTTTCCCTCGTTTCAAGTTTCTGCTAGAAAGATCTCCAACATCGCACCTTTCTCTGTAATCAGAGATCTTACAAGAAACAGAAGCTCTTCCGACCAAGTCGTTACTTCATCAGATCTGTTCGCAAGACTATCCCTCATTCTGGAGAAGCTATCAAGTCATCGATTTTCTTATTCTTCTCTTGATGTTGGCTGCAAACCTATCCAGCAGAGCCCCATTGCTTATAACAAGTTGATGAAGGCCTTCACGCAGGTGGGGAAGCTCGACGAGGTCCTCAGATTAGCTCGTGAGATGAAAGAATCAAACTGCAATCCAAATGTTTACTGCTACAATACTGTTATGAACGCCCTAGTGGAGGCAAACCAACCTGCTGAAGCTGAAGGTTTGTTCAAGGAGATGATTTCTGATGGCATGGCCCCAAATGTCTCTTCTTACAACATTTTGGTTAAGTTATACTCTTTCTGTTTGAAGGATTTCGATGCCGGCTATAAGGTTATTGCAATGATGACGGAGAATGAATGTTCTCCTGATTTGACCACTCATTCCACTTTAATCTCTGGGTTTTGTAGAGCTGGAAGAGTTGAGGAGGCTAGGGCTCATTTGTATTGGATGTTGAAGGAAAAATGTCCTGTTGATGCTTATACTTACACACCCATAGTGCAGGGCTATTGTTCTAATGGAAGGATGGAGGAAGCTAAAGAGTTGATAGATGATATGGAGAGTCTTGGATATATCCCAAATTCTGTGACCTACAATGTACTTGTTGGAGCACTAAGCAAAGCTGGGAGCTTTGAAGAGGTAGAAAAGGTTCTAAGAGAAAGTTCCTCAAAGTGTTGGAAACCTGATGAAATCACTTTTAATACATATATGGATGGTCTTTGTAAACATGGCAGAGTTAAAATTGCATATGAGAAGTTGGGGGTGATGGTGGACAAAGGTATCCTTCCAAGCAAAGTGACTTTGAATATACTTATAGATTGTCTCTGCCATGAGAGGAGGTTTTCAGAAGCTTTATCCTTGTTGGACAGGAGCTCTGAATTGGAATGGTATCCTGGCATTGTTGGCTACAATACTGTGTTGAGCAGGCTATGTAAGAATGGAAGATGGTCAAATGTTCTGAAGCTTTTTGTTGACATTCTAAAGAAAGGGATATTACACAATACTAAGACTCTTAATATTGTTATTGACAGCCTTTGCAGGGTTGGTAAAGTGCATCAAGCAAAATGTTTTGCTGATAACAGAGGGTTTGTTGCTGATATTTCGACATACAATACGTTTATACATTGGCTGTTTCAAATGGGAAAGTTGAATGAAGCTTTCCAAATGTTTTATAGTATGCAATTGGAGAAGATCACTCCAGATTTGATAACACACACTATTATGGTTCATGGTCTTTGCAAAGGGAAGAAATTTTTGGAGGCAACTGATTATTTTCTCAAATCTCTTAAAGATGAATTTGCTTTAGATGTTTATGTTTGTTTGATTAGTAAGCTGTTATATCATGAGAGATATAAGGAAATTCTTTATCTGTTTGATGGAATGGTTAGAGAAAATCATTTTTTAACTTGTATTGTATTTAATTCAACAATCAGCACATTTTGTAGAAAAGGATTTTGTCATCACACAAAGATATCTTTCGTCTATCTTGTTCTGGAGAAAATGCTTTATCTTTCTATAAGAAAGAAATTTTGAAGGCAATGAATTTTAGTGAATTATTCTTATACTGAAGTCTGATCGTATGAGTGAATAGCAGGTAATTTATTTCTTTCTACTTTGCAGCAATGTAGTTCTGCAGTGCATAGTACATCTCATCACATTTATATTGCTCAAGTATCTTAGAACCTAAAAATGACCCCCCTTAGGCTTTGTACTATATGTTGCATAGGGCTTCCAACCTATTGTTCGACTTCTATTTGCTCTTCTAGTTTAGTGTGCCAAACATGGGCATTCATGAATCATGACTGAACCATGTAAACACATTTAATAGAACATAAAATTCTTTTAGTCAAAGCTATTGGGGTATATTCTCTTGATTTATGTTTCAGTCTTGTGCCAATTGAACTTGAAGTTGCATTCATGTCATGAACATACAGTTTAGAGAGTGATTTCTAACTGACCATAGGATTGAGACTTAGGATTCATTTGATACAACTTTTTTGTTACTTTCTTAAGCATCTTTTTAGTACAAAAATTTTTAAAATTTCTTGAATTAGAAAATTTTATATTAGAAAGTCATATTAGGAAGTAGTACGAAAGTTGTCCCAAACGTTTCATTTAGGATGATTTTTTTATTGTTTCTTAAAGCAGCTTTTTAATAAAAAAAATTAATATTTTTTTATTAAAAAGCCGCTTTAAGAAACGATAAGAAAACTAAACTGACATTCTAAATATATGCTGGATTATGGGACTTAAAAGACTAGGACTTCCATCTCAATGGAGAAGGTTGGATATGTGAGACGTGCTACTCTGAACTTAGAGAGGCCCAATACTAGGAGCTTAGTAGCCCAATTCGAGTGTATGAGAGGCTTTTGACTTTTTATTGCCCTGGTTGAATTTTATGGTTGGATTTATAATAATTGACTTTTGTGTTGGCCTTATTACATTGACAACACTTGTGATTTTATGATAGCCCGAATGTATTGATGATATTTACAACCTTAGCTTTTGGGAAGCCTAATGTTTGACCTTTAAGATCTTAATTTGTATTTGATATTTATGATTAATCTTTGATTTAAGTTATATGACATACAACTCCCTTTTTTATTTGCCCATAAAGTCGGAGCTTAATATCTTAATTTTAAGAATGTCTAAGTATTGTACTTAGAAACACAAATATTGGATTTGTCTTAATGATAGGTCTTATAATCTCATCTCATATGAATTTAATTGGCCAAAATTTATTTTATTATTTTAGGTGTGTAAACTAACTAAAAAGTATTCTTTACATGCATTGTATTTTTATATTCGAGTATGATATATTGAACCTAGTTATTATTAAGTACTAAAGCTTAGGATTTTCTTCCATTAATGATGGTTAGAGAGTTCTCAAAATTTTTCTTCATCATCTCGTTGTATGCTAAAGGAACTTGAACGTCAAAACTTGTTATCTGCTTTGATTAAATGGTGTCCTCTTTTCAAGGAAACAAGCTCCCTTCCCTTTCTAATTCTCTTGGATAAGGCCAGTTACAGGCTAAAAATAACTTATAGCCTCCATTAATGGCGATACTGAAGGAATCCAACTGAGAAGTGCATTGGTTAGACAAATGGTAGATGTGATCAGGTTTCATTTTGATCGTTAACAAAGATTCAAAATTTATAAGCTTACAAATTTAAATGTGTATGAATATGCTTTGAGGTAAGTATTGTACACATAATTAATCAAAATTTATGTTAAACTCATCTTAAAATAAATTTAATGATGTCAAAAAGCATCATAAATAAATTTTGATCAATATATTCTAACCTTTTTTCTTTTTTTTTTTTGAGCTACCATTGAATTTGAAACAAGTCTCCTTCAAGCAATATTGGAATATCAATAAAATTTTCACAATGTTTAAGATCACTGAACTTCTACAAGCAAGCAAAATAAAATCCAAATAACATGTTATTTCTCATCAGGAATACATCAAACAGGTCCATAATATAAGTTTTTTGCACAAATGTGAGGGCCTCAATCCTGTTCATAATAAATAATATAAGGACTTTTTTTTTTTTAAATTTTTCTGTCTGCAGTAGCTTGTTAAACAAATGAATAAACGGCCCTTGGCTCCATTTTTCCACTTGATTTTAAGTTGCCGAATACATTAAGGCTTAGTTTGGGACAGCTTTGTTACTGTTCTTAAAACAAATTTTTAGTATAAAAAATTTGTACTAAAAAGCTGTTTTAAGCAGCAGTAAAAAAAACGAAGCCTAAAAGAAAATTTTCAAAATTTCACATAATTCAAGCGGTTATAAAAGAGCATTAAAATATGAGAATAAAAAGCAAAACATCAAGTTTCATTTTCTCAACATTTGATACTTGGCCTAATGCAAAGCTTGTGTGGATGAATAGAAAATTGTCAAAAAGAAACAGCTGCTCAAATTATACACTTGGTCACTTCCACCTAATAAGTGTGAGATGATTTGTACATGCCTAATGCCTCAACATAAAACCTATTTTCTTATAACAATGATTGAATGATTTGTACACAAACCATTCAAAAGACATTATCAATTTAAATTTGACAAATTGGTTTATTCTAAGGCTATTTTTTTGTTCCGTTAATTTGAAAGAAGCCAACATGACAGTTACCAGAGCAACTTACCAGATCAAAGAGGATATAAAATTGAGAAGAGCAGAGATTTAATAGCTCCTCTTGAGCCTCCTTGCAACTTCAAAATCCGAGAGAACCTCCGATGAGGAAGCAGATCAAAGAAGCCACCTTCGGCAATGGTAAGTTCCTATCATTCTCCATGACTAATTTCCTGGAATGATTTAGAGCATTCTAAGCAACTCCTGAGCCTCATTTCTCTAATTTTTAATCTGTGGCTCTGCAAACAAGCTTGCATGATAGGTAACTTCAGGGACTATGAGATTAGGATCTATAAAACCAATAATGGGAGCTGTAGCAGTGAAGACGGCAGTTGCAGGCAGCGGGGCTTCAGCTTTCCGACGAGGCAGGCGAGATCTTGATCGCATGCCACGCAGCCGAGTTCTCTTTATGTCCTTTCCTGTTCGTCCAATGCTTAAAAATCCGCTAGCAAGGGCTTCAAGGGCCTTTGCAGTTGGTGGCCTATTCCGAGTACCATGCCTTCGGCCATTACGAGATGGTTCCTCATCAGCACTGCTGTTTTGATTCCAAGGTACCTGAGAACCATCAAAATACTGTTGCTTGGCAGCATTCTGGTAGAGGGGCTCCATATCAAAGTCTAGCGGAAACTGAGGCTGGTTTAAATCAAAGAGAGCTCGTTGAGGCTTTTCTAGGTAAAATCTATCTTCAAATGATGAGCCCAAAGATGTCGTAGATGATGCTTTCTCTGAAGTTTCCACTGCTTTCATGTCAGAATCGGTCTTCTCTGCAAATAGTAACTTATGGTACCCATTTCTCATTGCTTGCTTGCAAGCACTTAGTCTTTGTCGCTTCAATATTGGTGCTAAACAAGTAGACTGGTCCTGTTGAATCCTCTTGTTTGGTTGTATATTCTCCCCTTCCAGATTTGAATCGTTAGTTAAATTTTCAGGTTGGTTGAGTTGGATACTAGTTGGAATACATGCTTCTTCTGAGGAAACCTTGACATTTGATGAAGTATCAGTGGAGTTTTCCAAGGAGCTGTCACTATTAGTTTCTTCCATATCATTGTGGCCAGCTACTTCGATAGGTAAGCTGCGCAGCTCCCGCAGCTTAAATGAACCAGCTGCAACATCAACCAAACTAGTGTCTACCACAGTAAATTTCATGAGTTCAGCATTGCAGTTGGCAAATCTTGGGCGGAGATAGGAAGGGTGCCGGTGATTAGAGACTGAAGTCAGGCTTTCATCTTTGGCAATGCCATTTTCTTCTGCTCCTTCAGTTTTTAGCTCAAGGAGTTGGGGATCAGATGCTACTTTACTCAAAACATCAGTCACAGAATCAAAATACTGATCACCTTTCACTAGCTTCCTCGAGAATTTTCGTATGTCGGGGATCAGAAATACAAGGGTGTTTTTGGAACAAAAATTCCTGGGACGTTCAGAATGCCAACCTCTAGCAAGAAGCCGAGGCCACACTGCTTCCCAGAATAGATCATTTGATTTTGCCTTACTAAGTCTGAAATCTCCAGTTAGAAATTTGACAATGTCAGTCAATGCAAGGGAGGAGCAGGCCTTGCCAGTGGGTATCTCAGTGCGGGAATGAATTGCTTGATTAGTTTTGTTGGGATCCAATATGAAGCCTGTAAGGTCTTGCTTGCCCTTACCAATGGCAACAGCTTCTATCAGAGCACTAATGCCAACTGTGGCCTTTAGAGAGAAAACAAGTTCCTCCAATGATGACCTTCCCTCATGGAAGGCCTTAGTGGCCTGAAAAAATGGTTAATATGGGAGATTTTAAATTAATTATTGAAGTCACAAGTTGAGTTGAATGAATAATCATATGAGATGCATATAAAAATGCAACATTAGTTTGAATATTCTTAAAATATTTTGAAACAAACACAGACTGGATTTGCCAGTTTATTTTTAAAAGCAACAGTCAGAACTACAGTTGACAGATTTCATCTCTAAGCTATAAAATAAAAACAGAAGATTCACTTAAGCTTGCGGGCAGGCCATGATTAGGACATTAGATGAAAATCTGAACTTCAACGAAAAAAACAATGTATCCATAAAAAGAGAACAGCAGAAAACTAGAAGCACTGGTTAAAATGGCAATCACAAGAATGTCAAGACTTCCAAGCAATCGCTTCAATCATAACAAAAAATTAACAATCAGGCCAAATAATACTTGAAAGACAAATGAAGAGAAAGGTATAATTGGAGTAGTACGTAAATGAGAATCAAAGAAAGATTTCGTGCAAAACTCTGTTACATATGGAAACAATAATATCAAAGACTTTCCGAGGAATAACTTTGATCTTGGGATACAAAACACAACATCAACAGACTAAAGAATGCAAGATAGAGGATACTACAATCGGTAAATAGGAAAAGGAGAAAAATAGAAGGATGAAAAAGAAAAGAGGAATGCAGAGAGAAGTGAAATCAAAGAAAGTTTGATGTCTCTGCAGGATTAAATTAGTAAAACATAAAGAAGACAAAATACACATATACTCCCAAAATTGGAAGCCCATACTTGACAAGGGAACATACCATAACAAAGTATTTGTTGGGCTAACTAAAATCTGCAGTGTGGTACTATTGTATTAGTTTGTTAACTTGCTTGCATTTCAATAACAATTCTATTGATGGTTTATGTTCAAACTTAATAGCAACTAGATATCACCCAAATCAAGCAAGCATTTAGATATCACGACATCTCACTATTGTGCACTCATTTTGAAATTCTCATTTTTCTGTCACTTTGCTGCTATCTTTGCCTGCACCAGCATGTTGCATTGTCATCACCTGCATCTCACAATGTTATGGTCGGTCACTTGCAGTCGTTAATAATGAGGAGGTCAAAGACAACGAATAAAAAGTAGTGTGGTGAATAGAATAACCTAAGGGTGAAAAACCTGTTTCATTAAAGCCAGCATTGAAGGAGAAGGGAGAATCAAACTGGTGGCAATGCAAGGTAGTATCGGCATGAGTATCTTCTTTGACATCTCATGAAGTTGAGGAGACTTCAAAGGTTGTGACAGGTATGATTAGAAATTCTGATAGGCCTACTAGAGTAATTTTTATTATTAGCAATTTGATAGAAAAACAGCCAATATCCCCACACGATGGCGTCAGATTTAGTTCAACATGGGCAATTTATAAAATTCAACGAGATGTACAAAAATAAAATGATGATTACTGATGTGAAACCAACCAAGAATTGCAAGAAATTAATAAAAGCATTACGAAGCTCGCAACTTTAAGTTTAATAAGTCGTAAGGCATGATTAAAAGGATTCTTAGTTAGTAGATTTGCCTTGGCATGCAGTTGCAAAACTAAGAGATAAGGACACGATGAGACAATTCAAAATTTATCACAATAATTCTAAATATGCTGTATTTAAAATCCAAAGTTTAATATCTAGAGAGTTCAAAATTTATCATTCTCACTCACACTCAGTCTAGGGTTTTAGCAGAGAGAAGCTTTCAACACACTAAACGATGCCGCTAGGATGGTGGCGACACCAAAGGCTTTAATCCAAGAGAAGGCCGTCGGCAGTGGAGGAGTGGATCTCCCGATGAGACACCAAGGTACCTTTGGTTGTTGAAGCTCGATTGTCTCCGCTAAGCAGTAGAGAATGCGGTTGACATAGTCTTCCACCGAGTCGTCATACTCCCAGTCCAGTTCGTAGAAAGGAGAGCGGATAATGTCGATTTCCCCTTGGAAGTTGTAGGCGAAGCCGTGGTCGATCTCAGGATCAATCATACACCAACGATGAGAATAAGGGAGGAGTTTGTCTTCTTCTCTTGGCTTCAAGTGTCACGAGCGGGCCAAGGTTTCCAAGGGTGAGGTGGTAAGAGGAGAGGGACGACTTGATGATGGGGATTCTCGGTTAGGTTAAAATTGGGAGAGGGGATTAGTTTCAGATTTAATTAAATTTGGTAGGGAATACAAGTGGAAGTTTGAATTCAAATTCAAATGAGAGCTAGGGCCTCATTAGGAAAAACCATGGCGATGCCCATTAATGGAGCCGGCGGCTTCATGAGGGGAGAGGGGTTAGGGAGAGATTTTGGGAGTTTCCAAATAGATCTTTGTAGACTAGGAAAGTAAATAAGAAATCCAATTTAACTTATTTTTAAATTGGAATCATGACTAAAACGTTCCTTATTTGAATTTTTTAAATAAGAATTGTATTTGAATTTCAAATGACTTAAATCTCTCCCTTAATGGCTCGAGTTAATTTAGGAAGTGAGTTATGATGATTGAAATCATCATAATTGAATGGGAGCAAGAGGGGAAGCCGGCGGCAAATGGGAAGGGGCGGCTAGGTGTCGGGTTAAGGAAATTATTTGAAATTCGAATTTGAATTTCAAATGACTTAAAGCTCTCCCTTAATTGCTTTAGTTAATTTAGGAAGGGAGTTATGATGATTGAAATCATCATAATTGAATGGTAGCAAGAGGGGAGGCCCGTGAGATAACCTCATTAAAATTATATATATATATAAGTTTTATTTTTTTATTTAACGAATTTTTTTTTAACAATCAAACAAATATGTTTATGAATGTGGGTGGAGAAGATGACCGGCGGTTGAAGAACTAGGAGGAGTTGGCAGGTGGGCCGGGGAAGAGAGGAAAAAAAAACTTAAACCACGAGCCGCGGACTCTTCCAACAACAGGTGGGTATTGTGCTTGCTCTCACCTCGAGCTCTCTTTCCATTCTCTCTAGTGCTCACACAAGAAGAAGAAAACACAGGAATTTTCATTAATCATTTATCATGCCATACAATGCAATAGGCCTCCTATAAATAGGCCCAAATGAAAGAAAAATCGAAAAGACTAAAGTGCCCTCGGGCTACAACATAGACTCAATTCCCCATAGAGGTAAAATGGGAAAACTCAAATGCAACATAATACATAGAATAAAAAATACATAAAAAATACAAACTCTGAATCTTAACCATCGATCTACGATTCCCCGACGATACACATGCCTGAATCCCTAGTAGATGTCCTCATCAATTACTCTAATATTCAAAAAAACATTTTTACATTTGATGGAATGCAAGATCATATTAGCTTTTTAAATCAATTAAGTGGCTTGAAAATATTATTTTACTAGTATAATATGCAGGATTTAAAACTTATCCAATTTGCAAAAATGAAATAAGTAAGATCAAATAAAAGTTTAAAAGGAAAGTGCAAGTAATATTTAACTTTTCAACCGTCAACTTATTACTACTTGGACTAAATATGCTCAAACAAAAACATTGAAACACAATATCATAAGCAATTGAATAAACAAGTCGAGAACATTATACGATAGACGGATAGAACAAAAGTATGACTTAGTGCTTTAATAGGTTCGAAGAGTTAGGTTATAAGTGCTTTTTACTAAAAGCATCAGAGATTACCATGTTTATAATCACTAATAGACTTAGATCAAATATTAATCATGGTATGAAAATTTATTTTCCTAAAATTTTTTAATAAGTTTACAAAAGTGATACAAACATAAGTGGTACAAACATTAAATTCCCCCCCCCCCAACCCACACACACACTTAGAAGCTATGCATCATTGTCATTTCAAAAAATTGATGCATTCATAATTTCTGTATTTTTATTTATTGAGAATATTGATCATTAGTTTTGCCCATGAATATTGATCCTAGCTCATTATTCCAAAAAGGTATGCTTTAATTCAAGGATTCAATTTGGAGTGAACTTGCCTCTTCTCCTCCCCTTTGTCTTCTCGTTTTCCTGTGCTGGCTGTTTTCCCGTGCCTTGCCCCTTTGGTTCCCGTGGCTGGCTGCTTGGTTCCCGTGGCTTCTCTTCTCTGTTTTGTTGTACCGTATGGGGGCTGATTTGTTGTGACTGTTGACCTTTCATTTCACTAAATCTAATTGGTTTAGTTAGAGGTGCTATGGTCGTTTAGTTCCCCTCTCTTGCCAATATAAAGAAGAGGTTTTATGAAGGAGAAGGTTGTTGAATTTTGTTGAGCTTAGTCTCTAAAAACCAGAGGGTTTTCTCTTGGAAAAGATTGAGAGCTTTGTCCACTTCTTCTTCTTCTCTATTTCGTCTGGCTTCTTACCTCTTTCTTCTCTCCGCAAGTTCCACTCCATTTGTATCCTTCTTCTTGAGCTTTGGAAGTATTTGTTGGCTGATTTGGAAGCATTTGCCGGAAGAGTTTGGTTGGACATTTGGACCTTCTTGCTGTGGTGGACCATCAGTTTGCTAGCCCTAAGCACATACTATACTTAACCTATATTTCGATGCACGTGAGGAAACCGTTCTGTCAGTTGTTCTGAGGATAGCGACTTTTTAATTTTCTTTTGTTTCTTTTGATCTCACTTCTCGTTTTATCCGTCGGTTTTTGTGTTTTAGATGATTGCTACTATTTGAATCGAGTTTGGTTATAGTTTTGCCCATCATTCTCCTTATCTGGCTTTTCTATCTAGTTTGTCTACATCAAGTTAGGTATCAGAGCAAGTTCTTATCCTTGGTTGGTGTATTTTTGTTGGCTTCTTGTCCTTGTTTGATGGGACTTTTTCTAATTTCTAAGATGACTAATAATCTGGGGGATTAGCAAAATCTAGTGCAACAACTAAATAATTTGCAACAACAAATCAATACTATGGCTGAAACAATTGAAAATCTGAATTAATAATGCTAATCCTAATGTGCAAAATTCTGAAAGTGAAGAGGAGGTTCCTAGAAATCAAATTAGGCAACAAAGAAATTGGGATCATGGAATTAAAAT